TACTCAGGAGGCTGAGGCAGGAGAATTGCCTGAACCCAGGAGGCGGAGGTTGCGGTGAGCCGAGATTGCGCCATTGCACTCCAGCCTGGGTAACAAGAGCGAAACTCTGTCTCAAAAAAAATAAATAAATAAAAAATTTAAAAAAATAAAATGAGAGCACAATTATGTCTTTCTCTCCCATTGTAGCTATGTATTCATCTCTTGAAACCATTCACAATTGCCACAAGTAGCTATTAATTTAACTAATAATGCAACACTGAACTCTATAAAACTTCAACTGTAAACCTTAATGATGTATAGCCAATCAATAGTCAGTGTTATTGCTGTAAATAAATAAGAAAGGTAGGTAAAGTTATGGTTATGACTCTGGATACTTTGTTGCCTTGATCTCACTCCAAAATTGTTTGTTGTTAACATTTTTGTACCACCCCACTCTCTGTCCCGCTTTTTTACAGTACAGAAATACTAGGAAAAAACACAGGCTCTTTTACTAACTGGATGTTTGACAAAATATTCTTCTTGGGCCAAAAACACTGGTATTACTGGTGAACTTGTTAGAAATTCAGAAACGCAGACTTTATTCCAAATCTTCTGAAAAAATAATCTGCATTAACAAGCCATCCAGTTTATTGTACACATTAAAATTTGAGAGGTACCTTCTAACTCAACATATCTTTTTGATCTGAAAAATATACACAACTCATTCTGTATGATGTGAATATAACACTCCAAAGTACACATTTGTGTTTATGCCCTTAATTCTATACTCGATTATTCAGAAAAATAGCATATATACACTGATGTTGTGGGTCCTTTGCCACTCTCTTTTCTCAGAGAACACGTCAGAAAATGTTTCTATGTTAAAAATTCTTTTATTAGATAATTTTAGTCACTTATAGAAGTCAGAACCAGTTCTCTACTCTCTCATCTGACCCTGAGTCACTTAAAAATTTTGCCCATGGCCACTTGGTGAATGTGTGTGTGGGTGTGTTTTGTAGAGTCAGAGAATACATTAGAGAATATTTCTGTATTAAAAATTATTTTCTTAGCCAGGTGTGGTGGCTCATGCCTGTAATCCCAGCACTTTGGAAGGCGGAGGCAGGCAGATCACTTGAGATCGGGAGTTCGAGACCAGCCTGATCAATATGGAGAAACCCTGTCTCTACTAAAAAGACAAAAAAAATTGGCCAGGCATGGTGGCACATGCCTGTAATCCCAGCTACTCTGGAGGCTGAGGCAGGAGAATCGCTTGAACCTGGGAGGCAGAGGTTGTGGTGAGCCAAGATTTCGCCATTGCACACCAGCCTGGGCAACAAAAGTGAAATTCCATCTCAAAAAAAAAAAAAAATTATTTTTTTGACCAGGCACGGTGGCTCTCACCTGTAGATCCCAGTACTTGGGGAGTCCAAGGCAGGCAGATCACGAGGTCAGGAGTTTGAGACCAGTCTGGCCAACATAGTGAAACCCTGTCTCCACTAAAAATATAAAAAATTAGCTGGGTGTGGTGGTGTGTGCCTGTAATTCCAGCTACTCAGGAGGCTGAGGCAAGAGAATCAGGTGAACTCAGAAGGCAGAGGTTGCAGTGAGCCGAGATCACACCATTGCACTTCATCCCGGGAAAGAGTATGAGACTCCTTCTCAAAAAAAAAGGAAAAATTTTTAAAAATAAAATAAAAGCTATTTTATTGGATAATTTCAGTCACTTCTATAAGTCGGAACCTGTTTTCTCTATTCTCTAACTACACCTTAAGTCAGATTAAAAATTCTGTCTATGACCACTTGGTAAATATATGCATGTCTGTGTTTGTGTGTTTTTCAGGCACCATTGACATTTAGGGATGTGACTGTAGAATTCTCTCTGGAGGAGTGGCAATGCCTGGACACTGTTCAGCGGAATTTATATAGGGATGTGATGTTAGAGAACTACAGAAACCTGGCCTTCCTGGGTGAGGATAACTTTATTTTATTTTATTTTTTTTATTTTTTTTAAAGACGGGGTTTCACCATATTGGTCAGGCTGATCTTGAACTCCTAAACTCCCGACCTCAGGTGGTCCGCCCACCTTGGCCTCCGAAGTGCTTGGATTACAGATGTGAGCCACCACGCCCGGCTGAGGATAACTTTAATGCTCAATTCCTAATATACCCTAAAGGCTTTATTTCTGGTTTTGTTTGTTTGTACAGTGTTTTCTGGTAATTTGGTAATTTTGATAATTATGCTTTGCATAAATGAGTTTCAAATTCCTGTTTCAGGAAAATCGTAAGGATTTGTCAGTGTAGGAAAAAAACTTTCCTCAAGATATTTCATCTTGAACTGAGCTGTATCCCTCACTCTAGATTAGTTGTAATTCCAGAAATCTAGTGGCATAAAATATGGTTGCCCACACTGTAAAAACTAATTGCTACCACCAATTCTTTTATTCAGTAGTACTGGGTAGTGAAATTAAGAACCTACAAATATACAGGGTTTTCTAAATATTTAGAAATTTCTGTTAAAAATTAGTATTTGGGGTAAATGTATTAGAATATTACATCCTTTTTACTGAGCACATTACTAAGTTGGTAATTGGAGAATATGAGCAAGATGCATGTTACTTATTTTCAATAAAACAGGTATTGCTGTCTCTAAGCCAGACATGATCACCTGTCTGGAGCAAGGAAAAGAGCCCTGGAATATGAAGAGATATGAGATGGTGGCCAAACCCCCAGGTAGGTGAGAGTGAAACCGAATAAAACAGATGAGAGATCCAAAGGTCAAGGAGAAAGCAAATCCTTAAAATGTCATTTGGGAAGCTTTGTTCCAAAGGATACAGTTTCTGGAAGCCTGAGTTGTTGTTGTTATTTTCTTTGCTTTCACATAGAGACATTTTCTGTCTTATGCTTTTAAATTATCGAAAGATTCTACTTTCCTTTCAGTCATTTTCTTTAAAGTTTATAGTGAGAGCCAGAGTCGTCTTCATGGCATTAGAAGAGACTGCACAATCTGACTGCTTTTTCATTGTTTTTAGGGACACACAAATGTCTGCATAATTTTTCAGAAGTTTATGTTAAACAATTTTTTATGTTCTCTTTTTGCATCATGCCTGAAATGAATGGAGTAGTGGTTCCTGTTCCATTGAATTTTTTGTTAATTTTTCATTTTTTTTTTTTTTTTTTTTTTTTTTTTTTTTTTTTTTTTTTTTTTTTTTTTTTTTTTTTTTTTTTTTTTTTTTTTGAGAAAGAGTTTT